CTTGCTTCTATAAGTTCAACAAAAAAATGCAAAAATTTACCTAACTTGTGGAAAAATGACCTTTGCTTTAAACCTGTTTTTACAATTAACTGAAATAAATATTTTAGAATACTTAAATTTAGTTTTAGTTTGTTTTTTGTTGTTGTTTTGTTTTCACCAAGCAACACCATCTTTGCTTTCTTAACAGTAAATGTACCGTTTTGTTCTGTTTTTTTTTCTTTGTTTCATTTATTTATTATTATTCACAGAATAAAAGCTGTAAATCAATGTAGTTCCTTCTGAATAGTCTGAATTGTATACATTCTTGTCATTTTTACAATTACAAAACCCAAAAGTGAAAAAAGGGAACTTTTGGCACTCACAAAGCGTAATATTGTAGTAAGCCTATAGTCGTCTAAATAGGCATATAAGCATTTTTATCCTTTTTTACGAGGCCATGGGACTGTAAGAAGACACTGTTTTGAGAGCATTCTTGCTGTGAAATGTCTTCATGATGTGCTCTTTGGGCTTGTTTTCACCATTTTTGCTTCTGGGTTTTTGGTAATACTGAGTTTTATACTGATAAGTGGACATACGGAAGATTTAACGTAGAACAATTTAAATATATAGTCAACTGGCGACTACATGGCAGTAGATCTCACGCTGAGTTATCTTGTAATGCAAAAGTAATGTAATAACTAGTGTACATATTTCTACCGGGAAAGAATAAGTAATGTGATGAATTAGTTTTGACAAATGAATATGTACTATGTATTATATTACTTTAATGACAGCACTGCTCAAGACCACTAAACACAGAACTTTACAGCACAGAGTCAGCATCCCATTAGCCACAGAACTATCTCTGTGGCATGAAAGAGGGAAACATCCAAATATGTAACAGAATACCGAATGACCTAAGACCTGTATGTCACCTGTCACATAACCAGAGATTATGTGATTATCTTTCAGAGACACAAAGTGCAAAGAACTCGAAGCATGCGTCGCTAACAATCAGAACCTTTGGGAGAGCAGGAATTCATTACACCAGAAAAAGAAAGAAGTCAGAAAGAAAATAGAAATATTTAGAACGAGGAGGTCGGAAAGCATGAAGAGGAGGAGGAGAAAAAAGAAGAGGGAGGAACTCTCGAGGGAATGCGTCCGTGTGGTATCTAACGCAACGTCTCATTTGGTTGCAGCCAAGCAGAATGCCTCCTCCTTCTCATTTTCTTCATGCATTCCTCTTGCTCCTCTCTCTCTCCTCCCTCCTCATCCTCCTCCCACTTCATCTCTCCTCTCACTCCAAGCGTTTCCCTTCTTCTTTTTTTTTTTCTGACCGCCTCCTGCTTTTGCCTTCTTCCATCACCTCATCCCTCTCTCATCTTCCATTTTTTCCCACTTTTCACGCTCATCTCACCGCTCATCATTCCTGTATTCTCTGTATTTACCGTCCGTTCTCTTACTCTTCATCATCCTTTTTTTCCACTAACTCTTCTCCTCACTTCATCAGCTCCTCCTAATATTAATATATAAATCTCTTTTCTCTGCTTCTCCCCATCGCTATCATCTTTGTTTCCCTTCATTTTCCGTCGTTGCTTCTTTATTTTACATCACCGTCCCTATTTATATCCTCCCCTCTTGTTGTATGCTGTCATTTTCTCCATCCATCCATCCATCTTTTTTTTTTTTTACTTCCCCATTTTTTTGTCTTCCTCTTCTCTGTCTCTCTCTCTGGTTTCTTCTTCTTCTTCTCCTTCCCTTCCTCATCAGCCATATTCCCTTCACCAGCCCTTTTTTTTTTTCTCTTGTTCTTCTCCCTCCCTCTTTTGTCTCTTTTTCCATCTGTCAGTCAACAAAATTGCCAACGCTGTCTGTCTGGATGCTATTCTTGAATGCCCCCCCACATTCTCAGTCTCCTGTTTATTTTACCAGAATCCATCATACAGCCGTAAAGCCAGCCTGGCACCGACTTCCTGCTCTCTTGACCAAGATTCTCTCTATAGTACCCAAAAGTGTTCCTTTAGCCTTATACCACCACAGAGCTATTTTCAGCACTACGAGGAACGTTTTTAGACATATGTTCTGAGCTGAATTGAGTCAAATTGCTCTTTGTGATGTAAAGAAGCGCTGGAGAGAAGTTAGAAGTGTTTCCAATCTTTTTTTCAGAGCCTCATAGAGTCACTGTTTTATTTCACCAGGTGCTGCTTTTATATATAACACCCTACATGGATTTTTGAATCATTGTGGTTCCATATGACTTGCACACCGAGCAGACAACCTGGACCAAAACTTTCTCTCCACCCGGCCTCGTAACTCCTGAAATAATATCCACACTGGACACTTTTGTGCCTTTAAGGCCGCGTTCAGACCAACTTTGGCCCCTGAGCATTCCCGGTGGTTTGCTTTTTCATCGTGAACAACATATTTCTACTATTTACATTGCGATCGGTGTGACTAAAGATGAAATGGCTTCCTCTGTGATGACTTTCCAAAGTTGTAAAGTCCTGTCGAGGAGCATTAGAAACCACTGTGCAGTGTTTTGGCATCTGTTAAGCTTTTAAAACTTTTAATCTCTTCCCTCAACTGTACTTCCTGGATCATATTTCAAGTCTCACTGGTACCTGAAGCAATACACAACCGTGACATAGCCGCCTGTTTTAAAACAACGCATGGCTGATGTCTTTTATATGCCTAACCACTCCTTAATCATAGTTTATTTTCCATAACCACAATCTCTCTCCAGCTTTAACTACCACTTAATACTAGACTTAATGCTACAGATCCCATGCCCAAATACTGCGGAGGACGGCTTTTATTATTTTTGTCTGGCAGCAAGGTTGCTTTATCAGGTGTCTTCAGGCCCTCGGTCCATTTTTCCATTCTTCCTCGTCCATTTCTGGGTCGTTACGGTCCTAAATTATACGGAGAAAATAACGCCACACCACATAAAAATATACTTAAAGGATTTTCACCTCACAATAAGACTTCCACTGTCTGGTGTGTATTGACACGTTCATAAACTTACAAGACAATTACTGCACTAGCAGAACTAGATTGTGTGTAATTAGTAATAAGGGTGACATTATTACATTTGGCCATATTTTTAATTGAACTCAGAGCACTTCACTTAAATTCTCCCTTTGTCCTGTTGCTCTCCAGTCAAGGCCCATGTTTTTATACCATATTAGGGCTTGTGATTGTACGTACGAAAGCATTTACAGTAATTGCTCATATTTAAAGTTGATTACACTCAGAAGTTACGCAGTGAAGGGGAAAAAAAAGAAGCTGTACTGTACCAAATGCAGTCTTTGTGATATTCTTTCAGAAAATGGATTTCACTGATTTGGTGGAGGGAAGTGATCGTGTGGTCGACGTTTGCCCCGGAGACCGACTGTATGACATTGTTCTCACGGAGCCGTAAGTCGGGCTCCTCAAATGACTTTCCCAGTCTTGACGAGGATGTCAGGACTGAGGGATTGCTTTCTGAACCTTTACCTGTCTCTTTGGGAGTCCTCCAAGGTTGTGTGCTGGGCTCGGGAACATTTTATCCATGGCTGTCCAATGATGTTGCAATCACACCTGGGATTTCCCCCTTGTCAGACTTAATATTCCTGATGCAGTCCGCAGGCTTTTTGAGGATACGAAGCTTGGGAGACTTAATAAGAGAAAAGGAAAGTATTTTAACTATCTGTGTGTGTGTGTCTTTGTCAAAGCGACAACAGTGGCACAGTGAAGCTACACAGGTTGATAAATGACAGAGTTAAAGCCACTTGTGCACTTTTAAATATCAGCAGTTTATATCTGATTTTTATAACATCATCTTTAAAAGTAATGACCATACAGGAACACGGGTTTAGTTTCATATGTATTTAAGATTATTTTGTCATGCCTACCTTCACTTTATCCAGCGCTTCGGGTAGTATAGCACAATTTGGCACAATAGTGGCCACCTAAGCCCTGTGGATATGTTCCTAGACTGATATTTTCCCCCTCTGTTTAAAAAAGAAAAGCAGAAGAATTCTACAAGAACATCATTTTACAAAATATATCTGTGCATGTGAGAATTCAAAAAACGACTACTAATGCCCTGACATGCATGCCTGGTCTGTCGACTTTAACATTATGTCGAATACCACAGAAGGGAAGAATGTAATTTCATCATTTCAACAGACTTTAAGCCGTATATGCTGTGGATAAAGCAAGCTGTAAACTTGGAAGTGCTAGCGCTAAACAAACGTTGTTCCTTCAGTCAGATGCTCATTTCACAGAGCAACAAGAGTCATGTGTGTGACAACTTCGTTTCCCAAACTCTTGGTTTTACATGTCCACACGGATACACATAAATCTGAGTTTCTACAAATTTTCTTTCAAAAGTGTTTAAAAAATTCTCCACAAGAGGTTTCTTAAATGCCGTTTGTGTGTGGACGAGCATCCCAAGAGAAGAGGGAAATGTTAATTTTACAAAATATCCATATTAGCGCGGCAAAGGCCCTAAAAACTACATCTGAGTCGACACAACAATCAACTCCACATAAACTCTTAAGAATCGTTAAACAACCAATATTTATAGTTTTGCTCATTGATGTCAACGTTTCTCTCTATTTCAGTGGTTTGCTAAAACTTCCCAAAGCTTTCCTTTTTGGCTCCATGAGCACATTTCTCTTGAAATGTTGGAGAAAAAATAAAACCTCGCCTTGGTGGACGTGTACCTCGAGAAGCACAACTTTTAAGAGTAATGAATGCGCATTAACCCAAAGTCTTCCCTTTTTTAAAAAGCAACACATGTTCAGTGACCTAAGCTGCTTTGGTCTTCAAAGATCAGTGACTAACACAAACCCTCTCTTGTTTCTGGGTACAGAAAACAAACGTCGCTCCTATTTCTGCATTAGTGGGAACTTTGTCTTAATTTATCGCTCTGGCCTCGGTCCAAACCCGCTTCGCTCCACCTTTCTGTGCTTCCTTTCTTCTCGTTCGGGAGGATGAATGTCTGCAGTTTAGGTTTAAAGACATTTAATTTTCCTCCGCAGCATGTGGAACGTATGTGTCGGTGAGCGCGTGCGTGAGCGTGCCAAGTTTCCACAGAAACCTGCAGTTATTTGCTTCCAAGTATTTGATAACCTGGAGAGGTATTGTGGTACGAATAGGTCACCCGCCTCCCGTCTCTCCTCCTCTTCCTCCTCCTCTCCCGTATTTTTTCCTCCTTCCAGACCGTTTTTTTCCCCCACTGTCTTTCCTTCATTCTTATCTCTGCTTCGTCTTTCCCCTCATCTTGTTTTCTGTCTCTAATATCTGCCTTACCCTCTGTCATCATCTCATCTCCTTGACCTTTAAGGACTCCTTCTCTCTCTCTCTCTCTCTCTCCCTCTCTCTCTCTCTTTCCGTCTGTCTGTCTTTCTCTCTTTCCCTGTCTCTGTCTGTATCTCTCTGTCATCATCATTACAGGCTTGATTACCTGTCATTATGGCTCATTAGGGGCCTATCAGCATGGCGGCAGGCAGGCAGGGGGGGAGCAGGGGGGGAGTGGGAGGTTTGGAGGGTAGAAGGGTACCTGTCAACACACCCTCACCCACCCTCCTACACGCCTCACCCACCCAACACACACACACACTGAACATCCCACCTCCTCCTCCTCCTCCGGCTTACCGTCTAAATGATCCATTCAGATGACTGAGTCGGGTTTCATTGGTTTGCATGGGGATGAGTTGGCTGAAGTTTGTGTGTTTGTGAGAGATGTCCAGACCTGTTGTATCAGCCCGAGACAAACAACAGGGAGTCAGTGACGAAACTGCCGTTGTTGCCATGTGTGTTTGTGTGTGTCCGTCCCGTTTGTTTCAGCAGGTTTTATTGGTTTCTTGCTCTTTAATAAATGTCAAGAACGTTGTTAAAGCATCAAGGTTTAGAACTAATAATGGTCCATTAAATCTTTCCTGCCTCCTTTTCCCCACCGTCTTCATGCCCCCTTCATCTCCTGTCTTTTCCTGCTCATGCTTCTCTCTTTACTCAGTTCCTTGTCACTCTGGGGCGCTTCTTCTAATTACTGTTTTGTTTCACTTCCTACATGTTCCATTGATTTCCCCCCCACATTTTATTCCCTCTGTTCTGCTCCCTTCACGTCTTTTCTTTTTGGATCATCTCCTCTCTTTCTGAGTCCTTCCTACATTGTCTCTTTCAATGTTAGTTCCAAAGTCTAAAGTTCGGGCATTTGCTGATACAGATTGGCAATCAAACCAATGGTTCACTTGTTTTTTTTCCTGTTTTTTATATCGACATCAGCGTCCTGTGTGAAAGCCGCTCGCTGCGCTCTGAAACCCATTCATTTCAATTGCTTGCGCCGAGCAACAACGCCATGCCGCAAGCACAGGTTGTAGACACCGCGCGTTTGCAATATTGTTAAACTTTGGATCCTGCGCGATGATGTATGACCATGCGGCCAATAGAAACGGGGCATCTTGGATCCCACAGAGCACAACGGGGAGAAAAAGCTGGTGCTGCGTTTGTCTACGTTCCCCAAATTACATGACACAACTTTGCGGTTGTATTGAGACTCAAGGGGGAAAAAAGTTTTTGCAATAACAAGGACAGTGCATAAGGTCTTCATCTTATTATGTGAAGTGCTATGAGATGACGTATATTCTGAACTGGTGCTATACACATAAAATTGAACTGAATAGTGCTAATGCTTGCTACTTAGCACGGTGTAAATACATCTTCGCTGCTGAAGTGTGTTCGCATCAAACTGAAAGCTTCCAGCTTCTGAGGATGGCAACGTTGCCTTGCTGGAAGTTTTGATAACGCCGCCTGTGTTGCTCGCTACTCTGTGACGCCCCAGAAGCTGTTCGCTAAAACCTGCAGCGAAGGCAGCACATACCGCTTCCTTTGCTGGTTGGCACTCACTATGACTATAAAGCTGTGACTATAAAACATACTTTTTAAACTCTGGATTATTCAAAACCTTATGGACTTGTGCATAGTTTCGTTCAATTGATCTTGACTTTTGTACGGTTGAGTAATTGTAATTAATAACCTTGTGTTAAAATGTCGTATGTACAAAACCAAAACCTTTTAGACCAGAACTGATAAAACCATAAAATAGAAGCTAATATCAGATCCACTCACCACTTCATCACTCTGCTTCCGATGGTCTTTAAACATTTCCTTCTCACCTGCTTTTGTTACATCCTCATCTCCTTGTTTTATTTTTTACAAGTTTAGCTCAACAATATAATAAAATGCTATTATATGGACATTTTAGTTGCTTCTCTTGTCCCACCTCTCACCTTCCTGTATTTCTCCTCAGGGCTGGGAGGAGAGCTGCGACGCCGCCGTCTCCCACCTCCTGCGGAGTTGCTTGTCGCGGAGCCCCAAGGACCAGGCCACATCCCTGGCCCAGACCGGAGGCCCGGTGCTGGGTCTCCCCCGTGACACCGCCCGCCTCAAGAAACACATCACCCTGCTTTGTGATCGCATCGGCAAGGGAGGCCGCCTCACCCTGGCCTCCGAGGCTAATGTCCAGGTCCCTGCTCAGGTCCAGAATCTCGCTGCTCCTGGTGAGTCAGGGAGGGGAAGGAAAAAGAAAGAGCATGGGGGGAGGATGGGAGAGCGGAAAACACAGTCGATTGTTGGAGTTGAGATTGAAACTGGAAAGAAGGCTGTGGAGTGAGAAAAATGGGTTTGATTAGCTGATGCAACGCAGTTCTTCAGACTTAAATCGACCTGTGCTGGGTGCTCCTGAGATTGAAAGACAAAATGCCATCAACTGAAATTCTGAAATGTTAAATCAGAGAGTTACGCCAAGTGGTGCACAAGTTTGTCATTAAATAAGCTGCTTATGTGATGATAGACACAGAGATTAAGAGGCATTTTCACCAGATACCACCAATAACTGTGTCAACGTAATAATCAGAGTCAGTTGGGACAAGCTTAGTAAAAGAGAGACACATGGTCGATGCTTCCTGTTAAATGAACCCAATATTCAGAACAATATTATCTGCAGTGCAAAATTACAGCTCGTAACAGTTCACTTAACCTCATAGGTACAGCGTTCTAAATAGAACTTGAAGTTGTTGTGAATTGGTTGTGAGATTGTCAGAAAAAACCCAGTGATCTGTGTCGTCTTTATGTGTTCTTGACCTCTTGTGGTCATTGAAATGAGAATTACGAGGCAATAAAGTGATGATGTAGCATCGCTAATGTAGCATCGCTGATACTCTTGAGGATGAGGTCTGGGTGGATGGTCAGCCGTAAAACAATAAATACCTTACTTTGTCTCTAGAGATCACAGTTAACATCTTTTCTCCTGCAACGTTAGTTTTTTCTTTTGTTTGTTTTTTATCCATGACCACGATTATTCCTAACTATGTAGTTTTAGTTCCTGAATTCCACCGAGACTTATACTAAAACAGAACTTTGGTTATGTGGTAAGGAAGTCGTATGTGGAGATAGATCGTAATTGCGTTCTCCGTTCATTAGTGGTCTTTGGCATCTTTGCTGAAGACAAAATTATTTTTGTGTTGAAAGTATTAATTTTCTACTAGTGCACGCCACATGAAAGATTCAACACCAGCAATGTACATACTCAGAATTCTGCTGAAATCTAAAGTGTTTGTGCCAGAGAGAGCTTAATCGAAGTTTAAGTGTTGAATAGCATTTATAATGTTATTTTTTTCTAGCCTTCTTATTTTCTCTTTTTTTATTATTTACCGCGTTAAATCATCGAATCAACACCTTCCGAAAAAAGCAGTGATGAAATAAGGTGAATGTGGGTGTGTTGGTGGACAGCCGCGTAGAAGCTGGTCCCTCGGTGCAGATTTTAGGCTTCAGCAGGCAAAAACATGAGGCCTATTCATAGCACACCTTACTGCCAAAACACAGACTCGTATTTAAATGCATCTGTACACACGCCCTAGAAAGAGCAACGCCTACAAACACACACACATGTATGCAGAAAAGAAATAGTGCAGGTACACGCTCATGGAGCACATACACAACCCATGTCAGATACACAGCGCAGACACACTCATAAAAACGGGCACACGCACACGTAAAGTTGCATTTGCAAGGTAGACACTCGTAAAATCATACGTACACTCTGTCTCACACACGCACACACCTTACGGATCATTTAGCCTTGGCTGAAGTTTATAGAGGTCTTTTTTGACATGATCATCAATTACAGTGTGTCGCCTCTCCTCCTTTCCTCCCCAGCCTCCTACTTTCCTTCGTTCCCTATCCTCCCCTCTCCTATGCCTGGCATTGAAAACATAAAACAAAAAAATAATGGAGTACTAGTATATAATTAACACCACTCCACTATTACTGTTGCGGTGTTTATTGCTTAATTTCAGTCCAGGCGTTTGCTATTAAGGATTCATTTGTGGATGTTTGCATCTTGTTCCAGTCCACGGATTGGCTCGAATACACTTGAATGAGCATTATAGAGAACATTAAGGTGCTGCTCACATAAATTGCTTCACAGTAGCATGTTTGATTGTTTGCGCTGCCACAGGCGTAACGGACTTCAGGTCAACGTGAGGTTTTTGTCTGATGTTGCTTTCACTTAATGGGTCAACGTAACAGCAAATGAGTGCAGTTGTGTTTTGCACATGCTAAGTTTTGGCCTAATTTCACAGCATTTAGTTAATTTAACTGTAATTATTATTGCAGCCAAGGCTTAGTGTGCCGCAGAAAGTCAGGAACGGATTGGTTCTGGGTAAATACATGTATAATCACATCGATATATATATTTATATTCTTTCACTTGCTCAATGAGCTTTGTCGATGATGCTTTTTTGTTGTTGTTTTTGAGAATTATTACTTTGTGTGTGTGTGTGTGGTGTGAGTGTATGTGGGTGTGTGTCTGTGTGTGTGTGTGTGTGGGTGGGTGTTAGGGAAAGAAAGAGAGAAAGAGGACTATAAAACTTTAAAGGCTTGTTTAAAAGCGATTATAGTGATTATAGTAATTCAGCACAAAGTTCAGTGGAGCAGAACCGAATCAATTAATTAAGTGTGTGTGTGTGTGTGT